GCTTGGGAGGGTGGAGGGACAGCGCAGGAGGGGAAGACCCTCTATGAGATGGATTGATTCAGTGACTGGGGTAATTGGGATGGGTGTGTCAGAGGCAGTGCGATTGGCACAGGATAGAGCAGGGTTTAGGGCTGTTGTACATAGGGTCGCTATGTGTCGCAAATGACTCGACGGCACATAACAACAACAACATCTAAAAAAGTAAAAAATAAATTTACGTAGTAGTTTTGAGACATGAAATACGCATGAAATGGTTTCATTCCCCACACCGTTGAATCCTAAAATCAAGATGTTTATGTACCATCTGCCCTTTTTACACATTTGGGACTGTTAATTTAAAGTTTCTTACTTTTTAAAAACTCGTTTAAAATTATTTAGAGTCTAGTTCTTTTATTTGTAGTGGTGTCTTGCCTGCCTCATTTTATTTGCTAGTTAATTGTCTCAGGATTCTCAAAGAGGCAAAAAGAAAAGATTCAAACCGATCTTTGTCTGTTGGTGTAAAAGGGTAACTTAGTGCATTGATTCAGGATATTCTTGACTTTACTCAGTAGGTATGTCGCTATCAAATCTTGATAAGAGCATTAGCTCTTGAAAAACTTCTGTAAATCCAGAATAAGCCAGAATAGGGTAAAAGAGTAAGGGAGTCTGACATTTTTTTTAAGATGTTGATTGGCCCTTGCTACAGAATCATACATACTGTGATAAGTGCATTAAGATACAGTAGGAATGCCATTCCATTTGACTTAGAGGACAGCTCTCCGTGTTCCATTTCCAAACTCTGAGCTAATTGTTACTTTAAAACTGTGTAGACAATTAACTGCTTAAAGTGAGTGTTAATTATCAGAAAGTACAGATTTCATGTGTTTGAGCTCTCTAATTACAGATTTTTCTTCTGCTGCTAACCTGTAATGCAATAAAAGACTAGAATGTCTTTATTTTTTCAGAGGATTTGTTCAAGGAGTCAAATCAGTAACTTGGTTTTTACAAGGTGCTGTAATGTTGGTAACCATACTGCAATACACCTCAAAGAGAAGGATCACATTTTATTTTTAAAATATCTTTTTTTTCTCTTTTAAATTTTATATCCATGTATTCATTCATACATGCCGTACCTACAGAGGTTATATATTATGAAATGGGCAATTTTCTGAAGAGACTTCTTTTGCTTGAAATGCAAAGGATTAAAAGAGATTTGTAGTTTGTTGATTTTGTTACTTCGTACTGGGGCTTTTAAAAAGTTTTCTTCAGGGGAGCCCTAGTGGCCTAGTGGCAAGGAGCTGCAACTACAATCCCAGAGGCACATGGTTCGAATCCACCAGATGCTCTGCTGGGAAAAGGAGGGACAATCTCCTCCTGTACCAGTCAGATCTGATTTGACGGTACACTCACACAAAAATAAAAATAAAAAAAAATAAAAAGTAAAAAGTTTTCTTCAAAGTTTTGCTTTCTACTTTTATTAAGAAAATTAACAGAAATGAGATTGTATGTGTTTGTGTATATATATATTTGCAGAAAATTAGGTTTTTTTAAAACAATAAATACCTTCTTTATAGGTTGATAAGTTTGTTTTCCAAAATAAACTTATTAACCTATATCCACATTCATTGTAAGTGATAACCTTAATTAAGTATCAAGATCAACATTGTAAAGAACAGAAAACTAAAAGATAGTAGAGGAGGGGAGAAAAGATAGGAGGAGTTGGGGGTTAGAGAAAGAAGGCCATATATGGTATATGAAACTATCAATGGACAGATATATTGAAATGTATACCTGATGAAATTATTCCTAAAGCAGTCTTGATGGTGCAATAGGTAAGCACTTAGCTGCTAACCAGAATAATGCAGTTTAGACTTACCTACCAGCTACTCCACAAAGGATATGACTCACAGTTTTCTCCTATAAAGATTCCAGCTGAGGAAACCCTGTGGGGCAATTCTGCTCTGCCATGTAGCATCACTGTGAGTTGAGATTGATTCACTGGCATACAACAGCCACAGAAGTTTTTGAGATCTAAATTTTATTCCAAAGATTCATGTTTAATTATGGACAGAAAAAAATTGGTATTTTTAAAATTCTCTGTGTGCTTTAATCATAAATCTCCCCCCACCCCCCAAATCTCCTATGCCTTTTTAAGTTATTTACATCTCATTAGAAGTGGCATGTATTTTTCCTAGATAAAGCGGTGAATTTTATTTCCTTTATTACTTTTCATACTGAGTCATCATAAAGAACTTAAGGAAGAAGAAGAAAGTAACAAATCCATCTTTTGAACTAGTTATACCATTTCTCATTAATTTTTAAATTGTTGCTAGAATGACCTGTACAATAACTCATTCATTAGTTTATTGTGGGTGAGAAGCTTTTAGGATAGTAAACTTATTTCAAATCATTCATATAATTTTTATTATAGTTAAGTATGCTTAAGTTTTCATGTGTTTTGATTTCTTTGACAGCCTTTAAATAACCTAGAAAATTATATTTTCTCAACTATTTAATTTTAATCAGAATAATAATTTTTTCAGATTACTGATTTTAATATGATTATATATTAGTGTTTCAAACAGGTTAAAACCAAATAGTTAGAAAAAGTAAGAAATTAAATCAAAAGAATATACCATATACCTAGTTTGTTATTAATGAATTTAAGCTAATATATGTTGTTGTTATGTGCCGTCGAGTCGTTTCCAACTCATAACGACCGTATGCACAACAGCCCTAAACCCTGCTCTATCCTGCGCCAACCGTACCGCCTCTGACACACCCATCCCGATTACCCCAGTCACCGAATCAATCCATCTCATAGAGGGTCTTCCCCTCCTGCGTTGCCCCTCAACCCTCCCAAGC